TTCCCACAGTGTCCTGGATACAGGTTGGAAGGAAGAGGTCTTTCCCACACGGTCTTGGAGGACCAAAGCTGATCCAGGGTGGAAGAAAGACGGTGAGACTCCAGTCAAGCTACGGTAGTTGCGGAGTCTGCAGTGGTTGTGGAGTCCGGTGCAGTGCTTGTGGTCCTCGGCGCAAGCTAGGAAGCATCCATCAACGGAGGGTACTCGGGGAGCTTCGTTACAGTGGTGGCATCAGTGGGATGGCTTTCCTAGTGTGAGGAGCAGCATCCTGGGAACACCAAGCAAGCATGATACGTCGCTATGAGGACAATGATTTCATTGTGGAGGTAAAGAGGTGGCTAGCCAGGTATGGCCCAGATCCTCCAGATGTGATGATCGACCTATTTATACAAGAGGTGTATGTGGAAAACCAAGCGGCACGGTGCCTTGAGCTTGAGTTGTACAGATCGGGACTGTGGATACCCAAGCCTCCTTCCCAGCGGCAGGGTGAGTCCCAGGGAGAGGAGACAACCAGTCTCTCTCGCCACCAGCAGTGTGTTTTGCAGGAAGAGGAGGTAGCCGGCGTCTCTCCCCAGCGGCAGTATTCCCTACAGGGAGTGGAGACAGTAGGTCCCACTCTCCAGGGGCAGGGAGAGGAGACAATCGGTCTCTCTCCCCAGCATCAGTGTGTTCTGCAGGGAGAGCAGGCAGCCGGCCTCTCTCCCCAGTGGCAGTGTTACCTATAGGGAGTGGAGACGGTTGGTCCCACTCCCCAGTGGCAGGGTGAGTCCCAGGGAGAGGAGACAACCAGTCTCTCTTCCCAGCAGCAATGTGTTCTGCAGGGGGAGCAGGCTGCCGGCCTCTCTGCCCAGTGGCAGTGTTCCCTACAGTGAGTGGAGGTAATCGGCCTCACTCCCCAGCGGCAGAGTGAGTCCTAGGGAGAGCAGACAACCGGTCTCTCTCCCCAGCAGCAGGGTGCTCTGCAGGGAGAGGAGGCAGCCGGCCTCTCTCCCCAGCCACAATTCTTCTTGACCCTCAACACATAGTCTTGTCTCGTGATTGGAGGGGACAGCTATACTCACACTGGGGATTGCTATGCTCTGCATACTCCCCTGAGCTTGAATCACTTAGCTCTTTTAAGAGCTTGTTCCTGATATGCTCTCCTGGAGGAGAGGTCTTCCCCACACAGTCCTGGATACAGGTTGGAAGGAAGAGGTCTTTCCCACACGGTCTTGGAGGACCGAATCTGATCCAGGGTGGAAGAAAGACGGGGAGACTCCAGTCAAGCTACGGCGGTTGTGGAGTCTGCAGTGGTTGTGGTGTCCGGTGCAGTGCTTGTGGTCCTCGGCGCAAGCTAG